CCTTTCTAGTCATGGTACTGTCTCAAACTATTCTAATTGATCTTCAGATTTCTGATACGCTGTGTCATGCAGGTGTATTTATTTGGCTTTTGATTACAACAATTTTCTTTTGCTTCTGTTACTTCACCTGTGGCCGCAGTGAGTAATTTACTGGGGTGGAAAAATGTTGTATACACCCACTATACTGCAGATACAGTCTCCTCTTGAGACTTGGGCCACTGGGCTACATAATGTCATTCCCAGGTTTTCCAGAAATCCCGGTTGAGCAGGTAATCCGGAATCCTCCAACTAGGATTTCTGGAAAACTCTGGTACTTTTGGAAAGTTATCAGAATTTTGCAACCCTACCCTCCTCTGGTTAGACCAGGAAACATGGAATGTGTCATTGAAATGGCATGTACTGTTATTATTGCGATATGCAGCAAAAGAAAGAAGAACCATGGAACATATTTTAAGGCATTGCACATCAAACATTAGTTTGTCTTATGATTTGTAGGTCATAAGTAATTGAATAGCCCAAAGGCTGAATGAGACATATCTTTCCAAATGAAATCCCTTTTATAGGCTAGTTTATTTCTTAAAGTATCCAGTGTGTTTAGAGATGTCCATAATGCAGGAATAGTCTAGCATCTTACGTTTGGTGGCAATGCTTTACCATTAATGTAAGTCGGTCGGTTTCTGCTGAATTGATAGTAAATAAGTTTGTCACTCAGAGGGACTCTTGTGGCAAGCTCTGTTTTGAATGACCTCGTCATTAGTTTCTTCTGTTGTATGTTTGCAGAAAGGAGGACAAAAGTGCCACATTTACTGGAATTTTGTACAAACTAAATAAAAAAATTGACCTCCCCTGAAATGGACTGTACTAAAGGCATGACGTCACATTGAAGATACCCCTTACTGTGCTTCAGACACAGGGTAATTACAGGGGCAAACAAACCGGACTGTAATATTTGAGCAGAAAATATAATTAATGATCTGTCTGAGTAGTTTTGCATATCTCTAGGTGAATTGAAATAAATGTGTGTATAGTTTCTGAGGTATCAGGGGTGTTCAGTTTGCAATAAATGGTATATTCTGCTGTGTACAGTAAATTTTTTAAATTACAAAATTGTACTTGTTTCTATTTTTTGTGATGGTTTAAAAAAAGAACAATTATTTTAAAATGTAAAGGAAATCTTAGTTGTTTTTTTTGTCTTAAAATATTGATGCAGGATTTTATTCTTTAAATAAAACTGTGGAATACTTACGGAATACTTAAATGTCTGTTTTTATCCTTTACTTAAAGGCCCAGTGCAGTCAAAACGATGATATACACTACATGCTCAAAAGTATGTGGACACCTGCTTGTCAAACATCATATTCCAAAATTATAGGCATTAATATGGAGTTGGTCCCCCTTTGCTGCTGTAACAGCCTCCACTCTTCTGGGAAGGCTTTCCACTAGATGTTGGAACATTGCTGCGGGGACATGCTGCCATTCAGCCACAAGAGCATTAATGAAGTTGGGCACTGATGTTGGGCGATTAGGCCTGGATCGCAGTTGGCGTTCCATTTCATCCCAAAGGTGTTAGATGGGGTTGAGGTCAGGGCTCTGTGCAGGCCAGTCAAGTTCTTCCTCACCGATCTCGACAAACCATTTCTGTATGGACCTCGCTTTGTGCACGGGGGCATTGTCATGCTGAAACAGGAAAGGGCCTTCCCCAACTGTTGCCACAAAGTTGGAAGCATAGAATTGTGTAGAATATTTGTGTATGCTGTAGCATTAAGATTTCCCTTCACTGGAACTAAGGGGCCTAGCCCGAACCATGAAAAACAGCCCCAGACCATTATTCCTCCTCCACCAAACTTTACAATTGCTTACAGAGGCAGTTTGTAACTCGGTAGTGAGTGTTGCAACCGAGGACAGACGATTTTTACGCGCTTCAGCACTTTAAAAAAAAATCCCTCATCAATCTACACACGATAGCCCATAATGGCAAAGCAAAAACTGGTTTTTAGACATTTTTGCAAATGTATTACAAATAAAAAGTATTCAGACCCTTTGCTATGATACTCGAAATTGAGCTCAGGTGCATCCTGTTTCCATTGATCATCCTTGAGATGTTTCTACAATTTGATTGGAGTCCACCTGTGGTAAATTCAGTTAATTGGACATGATTTGGAAAGGCACACACCTGTCTATATAAGGTCCCACAGTTGACAGTGCATGTCAGAGCATAAACCAGGCCATGAGGTCGAAGGAGAGCTCCTCGACAGGATTGTTTCGAGGCACAGATCTGGTGAATTGTACCAAAACATTTCTTCAGCATTGAAGGTCCACACAGTGGCCTCCATCATTCTTAAATGGAAGAAGTTTGGAACCACCAAGACTCTTCCTAGAGCTGGCCGCCCGGCCAAACTGAGCAATCGGGGGAGAAGGGTCTTGTTCAGGGAGGTGACCAAGAACCTGATGGTCACTCTGACAGAGCTCCAGAGTTCCTCTGTGGAGATGGGAGAACCTTCCAGAAGGACAACCATCTCTGCAGCACTCTACCAATCAGGCTTTAATGGTAGACTGGCCAGACGGAAGCCACTCCTCTGTAAAAGGCACATGTCAGCCCGCTTGGAGTTTGCCAAAAGGCACCTAAAGGGCTCTCAGACCATGAGAAACAAGAGTCTCTGTTCTGATGAAACCAAGATTGAACTCTTTAGCCTGAATGCCAAGCGTCACGTCTGGAGGAAACCTGGCACCATCCCTACAGTGAAGCATTGTGGTGGCAGCATCATGCTGTGGGGATGTTTTTCAACAGCAAGGACTGGGAGACTAGTCAGGATCGAAGGAAAGATGAATGGAGCAAAGTACAGAGAGATCGTTGATGAAAACCTGCTCCAGAGCACTCAGGACCTCAGACTGGGGTGAAGGTTCACCTTCCAACAGGACAAAGACCCTAAGCACACAGCCAAGACAATGCAGGAGTGGCTTCGGGACAAGTCTCTGAATGTCCTTGAGTGGCCCAGCCAGAGCCCGCTCACCATCCAACTTGACAGAGCTTGAGCGGATCTGCGGAGAAGAATGGGAGAAACTCCCCAAATACAGGTGTGCCAAGCTAGTAGCGTCATACCCAAGAAGACTCTAGGTGGTAATCGCTGCCAAAGGTGCTTCAACAAAGTACTGAGTAAAGGGTCTGAATACTTATGTAAATGTTTTTTTATTTTTAATACATTTGCTAAAATGTCTAAACCTGTTTTTGATTTTCCATTACGGGGTATTGTGTGTAGATTGACAAATGTGGAGAAAGTCAAGGGGTCTGAATACTTTCCGAATGCACATGTATAGGTTATTTCCACGCTGGGGTTGGAATAATACTGTGAAATTGTGAAAATGATGATAATGCCCTTTTAGTGTTTGAAAAGACTGCCTGAAATTCCAGCCTGTTGGTGGGATGGAGTTTTATGCCTGCCTTTTGACAGGTCTATTAACTAATTACATTTAGTTAATAAACCAATAAGAAAGAGTTCCAAACCTCTGCCAATAACAGTTAGTTTTCTGTTTTTTCCACTCCCACAGTTCTAGCAAAATTGCTATTTGCTAAGAAGCTTTTGTTTCTTTTTGACAATAAGAATTGAAAAAAAAATCACAGTAAGGTACCTCATTGTTACCCAGAAATAATTTGTATTCAGATAGAAATGGCTGCATTGGACCTTTAATGCATAGGCTACCTTTAAGTTTATTTGCAAATGTACCTGCAAGATGTTGCTTATGGTTCTATCTCACCTGAAGTGAAATATATCCCACCCCAGGATTGAGAAAAATATAAACGCAACATGTAAAGTGTTGGTCCCATGTGTCATGAGCTGAAATAAAAGATCCCAGAAATTTTCCATACGCACAGAAAGCTTATTTATCTCAGATTTTGTGCACAAATTTGTTTACGTCCCTGTTAGTGAGCATTTGTCCTTTGCCAAGATAATCCATCCACTTGACAGGTGTGGCATATCAAGAAGCTGATTAAACAGCATGATCATTACACAGGTGCACCTTGTTCTGGGAATAATAAAAGGCTACTTTAAAATGTGCAGTTTTGTCACACAACACAATGCCACAGATGTCTCAAGTTTTGAGGGAGTGTGCAATTGGCATGCTGACTGCAGGAATGTCCACCAGGGCTGTTGTCAGAATAAATCATTCTGATTGGCTGGGCCTGGCTCCCCAGTGGGTGGGCCTGGCTGCCAAGTGGGTGGGCCTATGCCCACCCATGGCTACACCCCTGCCCAGTCATGTGAAATCCATAGATTAGGGTCTAATGAATTTATTTCAATTGACTTATTTCCTTATATGAACTGTAACTCGGTAAAAACTTAGAAATTGTTGCATGTTGTGTTCATATTTTTGTTCAGTATATTAAGGTGGTGTGAAAAACGGCAAATCTACATAGAATGGGGCCTGAGTGGAGATGCAAAACAAAAAGCATCCTTCATTTCCTGGTTACAAACACAAACGACCCAGCCCAAACAATGTGGTAGCGTTTTCACACAGATCGGACTTTTAACAAATGCTCGATTTCCGACTTCATCGCCCTCGTTGTTATATTAGTGAAGTGAAACCAGCAGCTACATCAGCTGAGCTAAAATAAGTTGTTAAATGAACACTCACCATGCAGGTTGAAAGTTAGTGACAGGAAACCATGTGATGTTGAGAAGCAGCTGTCATGAAAAACATAAGTAACTACACAGTCATTCACTGCGTAGTTACAAAGATCGAAAAGTACTTTTAGTCAGGTTCATTGTGGGGTTAAAATTAAAGAACAGCTCAATGTTTATTGAATTATTTGGGTTGTTTACAAAATGTGTCAGTACAGTCACAGTATCAATAGTATTACATAGCATTCAAAAGTGCAGGTAGATAGCCTAGCTGTTAAGACAAAAAGTTAACTGGTTTGAACCCCCAAACTGACTAGTTGAAAACTCTGTCGATGTGGCCTTGAGCAGATTCCTCCTGTAAGTCACTCTGGATAAGAGTGTCTGCTAAATGACTAAAATGTTAAAAGTGTCTGCCGAGAGGGGATTATATTACAGAAAACAAACAAAAAACTAAACATTGTTTTCATCATTTGTAGCTGAGTCCAGACTGGCTTATGTGGCAGGACAGAGTCACGGAAAAACACATGCCCAGGACCTACCAACAAAGAAGAAACAAAATGGATGTGTTAGCCTACATGGTGTTCTGGTGGAGTTTTCATGTCCATCTAATACATGTTTAAAAACTCATGCAACAGCCTCCCAAATGGCCATACATAGTGCACAGGCTTTTCTGGTCGAAATTAGTGCCCACTGCATTATATAGGAAATAGGGTGCCATTTGGGACACAATACATATTTCTTAGAAGCTATGCAAGATGATTGATACATAGAGTTGACAGACTCTACTGGTCAGGAATAAGTCATGTTTGTCATGTGAATGCTGATTGATAAACCTGTCACTGACACCCTGTATTAACAAGTATGGGAAGATGATCATACCTCAACGATGCAGAGCACAATCACAGCAACCCCAGTTGCTAGGAAGTTATTCTCAAACCAGGCCTTCAGTTTAATGTAACAACCCTGAGATGAAGAAGCGAAAACATTGCTGAGTGACAGCTATGTTTTTTATATAGTTTTATAGTTCAGTTCACTTGTTACCCACATGAAAGGATATTTTTTATGTGATACCATTCCATTTCAATTCCAGTCAGTTCAGAAAGTAAAACAAATTCTAATTCCAATTCAAAATGTTCCTCATTGAAAAGCATTGAAGGGAATTGGAATTGGAATTTCAGTGTACTTCCTGAATTGACCCCAAGCCTGGTGCCATATCTCTTTCCAGTATACCGTCTGATTGTCACATTTGGTCTTGGAGCAGCAGGACGCAGGCACTTTATCCTTCCAGTCACTTGAGTTTTGGACCCCACAGCACTGGAACTACATGTATGTAATAGAATTAAACATGACAAAAGCAATGTTATCAACACATGAAATTACATCACATTTCCACTCACTTTTGTTCACATGCCTGGGAGGGCTAAAGAGAGTCTACATGTTTAATTTTGAAGTCTGTGTCTCCCTATAGGACCTGGTCAAAAGTAAGGCACTATATAGGAAATAGGGTACCATTTGGGACACAGTTTAGATGTTTCTTACATATATTTCACACACACACTTACCATGGTCTGTATGATGTCCCAGTCGTCCATGGTCATCGTTGAATTCCCACCTTTAGCTGATTCCCGGGACTTCTCCAGACTGTCTGTGAGATCCCTCTTTAGGAAGCTGTCAATCTAAGCACACACACAAATTACTTGGCAGTCTGAACATCTCATAAAACGCTACCTGATTATCTTCTATAATGTTTTGACATTTTGACATTTATATTTCAGTCATTTAGCAGACGCTCTTATCCAGAGGAACTTACATTAGTGAGTGCATACATTTTCATTCGTACTGGTCCCCCGTGGGAATCGAACCCACAACCCTGGCGTTACAAGTGCCATGATCTACCAACTGAGCCGCACGGGACTGAGCCTTGCCTCACAACCATGGCCCTCTCTCAGTCCCTGATTTTCCTCATGTAAATTAGTAATGTATTAAAGTTCTCTTCTTCACTTCATTTTCTGTCACCCCACTCAAACCTCCTCCCGACATCCCACGGCCCATCTGCTATATCTTACCTTGCTCTCATATAACAGCAGTAGAACGGCTGTAGTCAACTCCACCAACATCAGAATGAACAGAAGGATGAAAAACTGAAAACCAAGAAAGTACAAGTGTTTGTTGAATCAATGTTGTTTCCACATAATTTCAACCCAAAAATTCAATGTGATGACGTTGAATCAATGTGGAAAACTGAATGGATTTGCAACAAGTCATCAACGTAAGGGAATGTCATCATTTTTTCACCCGACTTTTAACCTAAATCCAATGACAGGGTGAAATTGTTGGATGATTTCACGTTGAATTCACGTTAGACAACTCAACCAAATGTAAATCAAAACTAGACGTTGAATTGACGTCTGTGCCCAGTGGGATGAGACCAATGTCTCTGAAAAATATGAAATAATGTAAAATATGTGTTCCATGTGAGCCCTACAGTGATGAGGAGGCAGCGGTTCTCTTTCATGGCCCCCAGGAACCCCAGGAAGGACACACAGGTCATGATGATGCCAGTGATGAAGAACATGTTGGCAAGGTTCAGGGAGGACAGGGACGGGATGAGAGACGACACCTTAGAGTTCATCATCAGGAACACTCCAAAACCAAACCCTACCGTTCCACACATCTGACAACAACCAAACACAACAGCATTGATTCAACATACATATGGAGTCATATAACATCATAATGGTGTCCATATTAGCACAATCTTATCAGGAGGAGGTTGTCCTAAAATGGACACCATACATTGTGATAAATGGACACTGAAATATTGAACATGGGTTTTTATCTCATTGAGGGAAGTAAGAGTAGAAGGTAACAGATGGATGTTTGGGATACGTACAAAGACCAAGAGGTTAACCACACACATGGTGTATTTCAAACACTTGAGGCAATTTTGAGCCATTTCCCAGAAGTGCGTTCAGACCTGCAAAAAAAACAAGAGACAGATAAACACACAATGTGCCAACACATCAATGATAAGCGTGTCTTTAACACAGTGAAAACAGCAATATACAATACCAAATGCACAGCAAAGATTGTTTGAAAACAGTGAGAACACCTCTGAGTCAGATTTGTATTTCGTTATTCTAAAGAAATGAGAAGGAGCATGGTACCGTTGTCTGAGACTGAGTAGGGAGGCCATCAAGCGTCACACAGTCACAGTATGAGGAAATGAGCCTGCTGAATCTGGTTTCCTGTGTATAATACTTCCTTTAAATTTACCCAGAGGACCAGGCTGGTTTTCATCATAGTTTTTAACCTGATGTTTAGACCAATACAGTTTTGATATTGCCTTAGTCTTTGAGGAAATATCTGTGGAAGTATACCAACATCATAACAGTATTTCGTTCTACTGCGGGATGAATGTGGGTGGAATTGTACACCTCCTCCAGGTTAATATACTGAACAAAAATATAAACACAACGTGCAACAATTTCAACGTTTTAATGAGTTACAGTTCATATAAGGAAATCAGTCAATTGAAATAAATTCATTAGGCCCTAATCTATGGATTTCACTTGACTTGGAAGGGGCACAGTCATGGGTGGGCCTGGGAGGGCATAGGCCCACCCACTGGGGAGCCAGGCCCAGCCAATCAGAATAAGTTTTTCCCCACAAAAGGGCTTTATTACAGACAGAAATACTCCTCAGTTTCATCAGTTGTCTGGGTAGCTGGTCTCAGATGATCCCGCAGGAGGTCCTGGGCTGGCATAGTTACACGTGGTCTGCGGTTGTGAGGCCAGTTGGACATACTGCCAAATTCTCTAAAATGACGTTGGAGGTGGCTTATGGTAGAGAAATTAACATTCAATCCTCTGGCAACAGCTCTGGTGGACATTCCTGCAGTCAGCATGCCAGTTGCACATGCCCTCAAAACTTAAGACATCTGTTGCATTGTGTTGTGTGAAAAAACGGCACATTTTAAAGTGGCCTTTTATTGTCCCCAGCACAAGGTACACCTGTGTAATGATCATGCTGTTTAATCAGCTTCTTGATATGCCACACCTTTCAGGTGGATGGATTATCTTGGCAAAGGAGAAGTGCTCACTAACAGGAATATAAGCAAATTTGTGCACAACATTTGAGAGAAATAAGCTTTTTGTGCATATGGAAAATTTCTGGGATCTTTTATTTCATCTCATGAAACATGGGACCAACACTTTACATGTTGCGTTGATATTTTTGTTCAGCAATACACTACCAGTCAAAAGCTTGGACACACCTACTCATTCAAGGGTTTTTCTTTATTTTTACTATTTTCTACATTGTAGAATATTAATGAAGACATCAAAACTATGAAATAACACATATGGAATAATGTAGTAACCAAAAAAGTGTTAAACAAATCAAACTATCTTTTATATTTGAGATTCTTCAAATAGCCACCCTTTGCCTTGATGACAGCTTTGCACACTCTTGGCATTCTCTCAACCAGCTTCATGAGGTAGTCACCTCCAGGAATGCATTTCAATTAACAGGTGTACCTTCTTAAAAGTTAATTTGTGGAATTTATTTCCATCTTAATGTGTTTGAGCCAATCAGTTGTGTTGTGACAAGGTAGGGGGGTATACAGAAGATAGCCCTATTTGGTAAAAGAACAAGTCCATATTATGGCAAAAACAGCTCAAATAAGCAAAGAGAAACGACAGTCCATCATTACTTTAAGACATGAAGGTCAGTCAGTCCGGGAAATGTCAAGAACGTTGAACGTTTCTTCAAGTGCAGTCGCAAAAACCATCAAGCGCTATGATGAAACTGGCTCTCATGAGAACCGCCACAGGAATGGAAGACCCAGAGTTACCTCTGCTGTAGAGGATAAGTTCATTAGTGTTACCAGCCTCAGAAATTGCAGCCCAAATAAATGCTTCACAGAGTTCAAGTAACAGACACATCTCAGCATCAACTGTTCAGAGGGGACTGTGTGAATCAGGCTTCATGGTCGAATTGCTGCAAAGAAACCACTACTAAAGGACACCAATAAGAAGAAGAGACCTGCTTGGGCCAAGAAACACGAGCAATGGACATTAGACGGGTGGAAATTTGTCCTTTGGTCTGGAGTCCAAATTGGAGATTTTTGGTTAAAACCGCTGTGTCTTTGTGAGACGCGGTGTGGGTGAACGGATGATCTCCACACCGAAAAGCATGGAGGAGGAGGTGTTATGGTGTGGGGGTGCTTTGCTGGTGACACTGTCTGTGATTTATTTAGAATGCAAGGCACACTGAACCAGCATGGCTACCACAGCATTCTGCAGCGATGCGCCATCACATCTGGTTTGGGCTTAGTGGGACTATCATTTGTTTTTCAACAGGACAATGACCCAACACACCTCCAGGCTGTGTAAGGGCTATTTGACCAAGAAGGAGAGTGATGGAGTGCTGCATCAGATGACCTGGCCTCCACAATCCCCCGACTTCAACCCAATTGAGATGGTTTGGGATGAGTCGGACAGCAGAGTGAAGGAAAAGCAGCCAACAAGTGCTCAGCATATGTGGGAACTCCTTCAAGACTATTGGAAAAGCATTCCAGGTGAAGCTGGTTGAGAGAATGCCAAGTGTGTGCAAAGCTGTCATCAAGGCAAATGGTGGCTATTTGAAGAATCTCAAATATAAAATACATTTTGATTTGTTTAACACTTTTTTGGTTACTACATGATTCCTCCATATGTGTTATTTCATAGTTTTGATGTCTTCACTATTATTCTACAATGTAAAAAATAGTCCAAATAAAGAAAGACCCTTGAATGAGTAGGTGTTTCCAAACTTTTCACTGGTACTGTATGTGTCCAACCCAATATCACCCTTATCCTCTGAAACCATTCTGTGTCTGTAATTAATAAACATATTGAAATGTAACTCCTCTGACACCATGATATCTGTAATTAATAAACATATTGACATTTACTTCATTTCCTCCTTGATATTCAAGTCAATTTCAATTACTGCCAAACAACATCTAGGAGCCTAAGAAACCACAAACTGCCCTACCTTTCTTGTTATCCCACATTTATAAAATGTCTTCAAATAGATGTTTTCAATAACACTGCCAACATTACATTTTAGATTGTTCTAAGACAAGGTTTAATAAGATATAGTTACTCTCTCTTTATAAACACATGACCAACTTCTCTTATCCCTTGGTTAGCTATGTCTATTAGAGCAATAGACACATGTAGTAAGTCACTCATAACAATCAAAATACAATCAAATGTCCTCTCTGTTTTATAACAAATAAAATATAACTTTTAATTAACGATGATGACATTGAGACACCATTAAATTCCTGTGAGAATGGTATCGATTAAGCCTTAGTGAATTACAAAAATGTCAACCTTGTGCTTACCTTGTCAGCTGAAATAGTGATACAAGTGTAAATTAAATCCAAGACCCTCTACAATCCGTTGTTTAGAGGATGTACTGCACCTTTGACTTTACCGTGCTGGTACTTTCCATCCTCAGTAGACTTTGAAGGCAAGGGGTTTGTCAGTTCATTCTACTTCCTTATTCTAGGGCACACTAGGACAAATATATACTGAGAACTTGTGCCGTGCATTTTAAAATAGCAAAAGGAAACACAAAAGGACTAATTCTGTGACTCATCACCTCAATGTAGAAAAGATGTGGTAGCCCTTTTCTACCAGTGGAGGGGAATTTGTCCCCTATGTTTTCAACCATAAATAACCAATGATCCGAAATATTGAATGAAGTATAAGCTGACTCCTTGTTGTTTCAATCATGTGGCCTACTCTGTAAGAGTGAAAATGTGCTATGCACATCTTAAGAGGTAATCAAAGGTTTAATACACAGGTAGGAGCAGTCAAGCATCAAGTTTATTGTTTACCTACATTTTTTTCTGTACGTTTTAAGCAATCCCTATAACATACACATTACTCAGTCTCAATGGCAACTGTTCTTGTTAGATGCTTGGTCATTATGCTAAGTACTGATAACATCACTTCTCTCAAAAAAGGTACCCTATTGCTTTGTGTTCTATTTACAAACAAACAAACACTAAACACCTGTGATAGAAAATCATATCCTTCTGACATTTTGTCTCAAGTGAATGAGATCCTGTTTTGCGTAATAAGCCAGTTGAAAGTCATGGGTTCTTCTTTTACTTGTAACCATATCCATTACGACTGAAGTGTCAGAAGCTGGGGACTGTGAAACACAGGCAAATCAACTGCAAACAAGAACAGAAACGTTTTGGATGCATAGTCAGCACGTTTTAACTAAGACCACAGACAGTCTTATAAACTAAGGAAGAGGAAACAGGTTCAGTAGAATGAAGACGATGGTGAGAATCACATTGGCACCCTATTCTCTATATATAGTGCACTACTTTTGACCAGGGTCCATTGGGCTCTAGTCAAAAGTAGTGCACTATATAAGGAATATGGTGCCATTTGGGACACACAGATTGAACCAAATGAGTAAAAGCGTAGAAAGTGTACTGTACATGTAGAATACACAGGGAGACGACACCTGCTCTAGTGCTGAGAAAGTTCCTCGCAAACCAGTTCCTGAGCTTCATATGACAGCCCTGAAAGAGACAGAGGTTATATTGTTCAAAATGAAGCTATAAATATTTTAAACTACAGTATGTAACATTTTGGGCAACCCCACCAAATTCACATAGAATTGTGTGTTATAGTTCTTTCGTTCCTGTTGAAAGCAAGTCTAAGAGGCGGTAGATCTGTTCTATGTGTGCTATTTCTATGCCTCCCGTTCTGAAGTTTCGTTTTTACATCTTTTACTTTAGATTTTGTACACCAGCTTCAAACAGCTGAATATACAATATCTTTGGTTATGGAAAATATATTTCACAGCGGTTTAGATGGTACAATGATTCTATATACAATGACTGCTTGTTTTGTCACATAAACTGAAATTAGGCAAACTACTGTATTGGAATTTTAGCAAGCAAACAGGAAATGCTGGAGCAATTTCTGCATAGTGCATCTTTAAGACAGAGGTCGCATCCCAAATGGCACCATATTCCCTATAGTAAACTACTTTTGCCCAGGGCCAATAGGGCTCTGGTCAAAAGTAGTGCACTAAATAATTAATAGGGTACCATTTGGGACACAAGCAGAGAAAAAGTACAAGCCCACCTCCTGCCAGTTAGGTTGGAGGATAATGTTACAGGAGTCTCTGGTACAGCAGGACAGGGGCACATTGCCCTCCCAGTCTGCCACACCATGGACCCCCACAGCACCTAAACTGAACACAGCACAGCCACTGGGTTACCATCCTATAACAACACTGGTGAAGCAGAATGGAGAAATGTACTGGAATGTTATTGAGGTCTAGGTACAGCCTGTGTTATTTCAACAGAGCGATATGTATGAATGTACCATTACACCTACTGAATTACTCAAAATACGCTGGACACAATCAAAGTCCTCTTTAATGGTTAGCTTCCCCTTTGATGTAGAAACATCCAGGACCTCTATACCAGGTGGTGTCAGAGGAAGGCCCTAAAAATTGTCAAAGACTCCAGCCACCCTAGTCATAGACTGTTCTCTCTGCTACCGCACGGCAAGCAATACCGGAACGCCAAGTCTAGGTCCAAAAGGTTCCTTAACAGCTTCTACCCCCAAGCCATAAGACTGTTGAACAGTTAATCAAATGGCTACCCAGACTATTTTGCATTGAACCACCCCCTTTTTTCACGCTGCTGCTACTCGCTGTTTAATATCTATACATAGTCACCTTACCCATACCTACATGTACAGTACCAGTCAAAGGTTTGGACACACCTACTCCTTCCAGGGTTTTTCTTTATTTTGACTATTTTCTACATTGTAGAATAATAGTGAAGACATCAAAACTATGAAATAACACATATGGAATCATGTAGTAACCAAAAAAGTGTTAAACAAATCTAAATAGATTTTATATTTGAGATTCTTCAAAGTAGACACCCTTTGCCTTGATGTCAGCTTTGCACACTCTTGGCATTCTCTCAACCAGCTTCATGAGGTAGTCACCTGGAGCCAATCAGTTGCATTGTGACAAGGTAGGGGTGGTATACAGAAGATAGCCCTATTTGGTAAAAGACCAAGTCCATATTATGGCAAGAACAGCTAAAATAAGCAAAGAGAAACGACAGTCCATCATTAATTTAAGACATGAAGGTCAGTCAATCCGGAACATTTCAAGAACTTTGAAAGTTTCTTCAAGTGCAGTCGTAAAAACCATCAAGCGTTATGATGAAACTGGCTCTCGAGGAACCGCCACAGGAAAGGAAGACCCAGAGATACCTCTTCTGCAGAGGATAAATTCATTAGAGTTACCAGCCTCAGAAATTGCAGTCCAAATAAATGCTTCACAGAGATCAAGTAACAGACACATCTCAACATCAACTGTTCAGAGGAGACTGCATGAATCAGGCCATGGTCGAATTGCTGCAAAGAAACCACTACTAAAGGACACCAATAAGAATTAGAGACTTGCTTCAGCCAAGAAACACGAGCAATGGACATTAGAACGGTGGAAATCTGTCCTTTGGTCTGATGAGTCCAAATTGGGGATTTTTGGTTCCAACATCCGTGTCTTTGTGAGACGCAGAGTAGGTGAACGGATGATCTCCGCATGTGTGGTTCCCACCGTGAAGCATGGAGGAGGAGGTGTAATGGTGCTTTGCTGGTGACACTGTCTGTGATTTACTTAGAATTCAAGGCACACTTAACCAGTATGGCTACCACAGCATTCTGCAGCGATACGCCATCTCATCTTGTTTGCGCATAGTGGGAATATAATTTGTTTTTCAACAGGACAATGACTCAACACACCTCCAGGCTGTATAAGGGCTATTTGACCAAGAAGGAGAGTGATGGAGTGCTGCATCAGATGACCTGGCCTCCACAATCACCCGACATCAACCCAATTGAGATGGTTTGGGATGAGTTGGACAGCAGAGTGAAGGAAAAGCAGCCAACAAGTTCTCAGAATATGTGGGAACTCCTTCATGACTATTGAAAAGCATTCCAGGTGAAGCTGGTTGAGAGAATGCCAAGAGTGTGCAAAGCTGTCATCAAGGCAAAGGGGTGGCTATTTTGAAGAATCTAAAATCTAAAATATATTTTGATTTGTTTAACAATTTTTTGGTTACTACATGATTCCATGTGTTATTTCATAGTTTTGATGTCTTCACTATTATTCTACAATGTAGAAAATAGTACAAATAAAGAAAAAACCTTGAATGAGTAGGTGTGTCCAAACTTTTGACTGGTACTGTACATATTACCTCGACTAGCCTGTACCCCAGCACCTTGACTCGGTACCAGTACCCCCTGTACAGTGAGGGAAAAAAGTATTTGATCCCCTGCTGATTTTGTACGTTTGCCCACTGACAAAGACATGATCAGTCTATAATTTTAATGGTAGGTTTATTTGAACAGTGAGAAACAGAATAACAACACAAAAATCCAGAAAAATGCATGTCAAAAATGTTATAAATTGATTTGAGGGAAATAAGTATTTGACCCCTCTGCAAAACATGACTTAGTACATGGTGGCAAAACCCTTGTTGGCAATCACAGAGGTCAGACGTTTCTTGTAGTTGGACACCAGGTTTGCACACATTTCAGGAAGGATTTTGTCCCACTCCTCTTTGCAGATCTTCTCCAAGTAATTAAGGTTTCGAGGCTGACGTTTGGCAACTCGAACCTTCAGCTCCCTCCACAGATTTTCTATGGGATTAAGGTCTGGAGACTGGCTAGGCCACTCCAGGACCTTAATGTGCTTCTTCTTGAGCCACTCCTTTGTTGCCTTGGCCGTGTGTTTTGGGTCATTGTCATGCTGGAATACCCATCCACGACCCATTTTCAATGCCCTGGCTGAGGGAAGGAGGTTGTCACCCAAGATTTGACGGAAAATGGCCCCGTCCATCGTCCTTTGATGCGGTGAAGTTGTCCTGTCCCCTTAGCAGAAAAACACCCCCAAAGCATAATGTTTCCACCTCCATGTTTGACGGTGGGGATGGTGTTCTTGGGGTCATAGGCAGCATTCCTCCTCCTCCAAACACGGCGAGATGAGTTGATGCCAAAGAGCTCGATTTTGGTCTCATCTGACCACAACACTTTCACCCAGTTCTCCTCTGAATCATTCAGATGTTCATTGGCAAACTTCAGACGGGCCTTTATATGTGCTTTCTTGAGCAGGGGGACCTTGCGGGCGCTGCAGGATTTCAGCCCTTCACGGCGTAGTGTGTTACCAATTGTTTTCTTGGTGACTATGGTCCCAGCTACCTTGAGATCATTGACAAGATCCTCCCGTGTAGTTCTGGGCTGATTCCTCACCGTTCTCATGATCATTGCAACTCCACGAGTTGAGATCTTGCATGGAGCCCCAGGCCAAGGGAGATTGACAGGTGTTTTGTGTTTCTTCCATTTGCGAATAATCGCACCAACTGTTGTCACCTTCTCACCAAGCTGCTTGGCGATGGTCTTGTAGCACATTTCAGCCTTGTGTAGGTCTACAATCTTGTCCCTGACATCCTTGGAGAGCTCTTTGGTCTTGGCCATGGTGGAGAGTTTGGAATCTGATTGATTGATTGCTTCTGTGGACAGGTGTCTTTTATACAGGTAACAAACTGAGATTAGGAGCACTCCCTTTAAGAGTGTGCTCCTAATCTCAGCTCGTTACCTGTATAAAAGACACCTGGGAGCCAGAAATCTTTCTGATTGAGAGGGGGTCAAATACTTATTTCCCTCATTAAAATGCAAATAAATGTATAACATTTTTGACATGCGTTTTTCTGGATTTTTTGATTGTTATTCTGTCTCTCACTGTTGAAATAAACCTACCATTAAAATTATAGACTGATCATTTCTTTGTCAGTGGGCAAATGTACAAAATCAGCAGGGGATCAAATACTTTTTTCCCTCACTGTATAGCCTCGTTATTGTTATTTTATTGTGTTATTCTTTTTTATTTCGTAAATATTTTCTTAACTCTTATTTTTCTTTAAATGGCATTGTTGGTTAAGGGCTTGTAAGTAAGCATTTCACGGTAAGGTCTACACCTGTTGTATTCGGCACATGTGACAAATAAAATTTGCTTCAATTTCTTGTGTCTCCAGGTTACACATCAGGTCTTTCTCAAAGAAAGTGTCAATCTGTATGGCAAACAGGTCACAAGTTTATATGACTTCTACTAGCACCATTACACCTCACATTTTACATTATCAAATTAGGTCATAAGAACAGCAGAGAAGCCTTTAGATGTCTCTTACCTCCCTCTCAAACACCATAAGCATACATGCCATGGCCAGCTCCACCAGCATCAAGCTAAACAGTAGGAGGAAAAATGTCCCTCACAGACCATCGGCACCTTTATAGTGCACTACTTTTGACCAGGGTCTATAGAGTGCCATTTGGAACACATACATTTTGTGCATGGTATATCTGTGCAGACTCACAGTGATGAGCATCCAACGGTTTTCCTTCAGGGGCCCCATGATTCCCAGGTAACACACACAGGTCACGATGGTTTCCATGACTACCAGGGTGTTGGCAGGGTTGATGGGGCATAAGAATGTGATGAGGGAGACAAATCTAGAGTGCATCATCTGGAACTCTCCAAAACCCACCATGAAGGCACGACACAACTGGAACATAAGGCTTACATCAGAGTCAAAAAGGGGAATACATGATCTTGTAGATCTCTCAAACTGTTGATATTAAAATGTAGACGTTTGAGAAAATTTTGAATTTGAAATTTTGATGACTTAGAATTAAGAAAGTATCTGAATAGAAAGTGGTATTTATGCTTTTATCCCCTCTACAGGATGCATTTGATATGACAGGTTTATGATGTCACCAGTGATTTGACGTTTTAGAGATGATAAAGACTTCATAATAATCAGACTGTAAGAAGTGGTGAATCAAAATAACCTACCCAGCAGATGAAGTTGAGGAAGGTGACAACACCTTTCAAGCAGTTCACACAGGAACGATTCCAATTTCCTTTATGGTTATATCCCATGAACCTGAAGAAAAACACACAATTCAATATCACTGTTAATGCTTAACTTTCATTTGATTGATAACAGGATACTTAATGTCTAATCCAGCTTTAGAGTAGGAAAGCAGCTGATTCAAGTAACCATGACTACTCCTTTGGTCTAATGGTTGAAGTGTTGACAAGACAGCACTGTTAGGTATGACAACCCAGCATTGTGCATGACCCATCCAAACATGTTTTAGCCCTACTTTTATGCAAAGTATTGTCCCAAGCATACTTTCTATTTCATACAGAATGTAAACTGAATCCAATTTATTAGAAGATTTACCATTACAGAGCCATGACTGCCAATATGGCACTAATTGTCAGAGTCTGTTGCAGTTTTCTTTTAAAGTCTAGATACACTTTATATAATCAGATGTTTTATTTAAGTCAAATTTAAATGGTTGTGCTGATTTTAAATGATATAACTTTTAAACATCTTAGCAACAATCTATAATGGAAAATGGAATAGGATATTTCAAGCCACATTTCAAACTACCTTCGTAGGTGGTTTGAAGTCAGATACAAATCTGATTCCTGGCCATGCAACTTTTGTCTGAATATTCAAATCTGATTGATTTGCCCTCAAGTGGTTTTTAGACTGTAATTTGCCGTCTCTTGTTGCTTGCTAGCTACTCTGTTGACAGTTTCGACAAGGCCATGTGGCAGCTAACTAGCTTGTTAATTGTTTACAAACAAATTAGTGAATGTGCTAGAAAGCTAAACAGCTACCAAGCTAGCTAGTTGACTGCTGCGGCAAGACAAAAAGGACACGTTTTGAAAGTTGTATCATCTTATCCTTTGAGGCTTTAAAAGTGTTCTTACACTATGATTTTGAACATTCAAAGCAACTGTGAAACGTCCATTGCAGGCATTGTTGTTACCTTAGCTTGCTAGATAACTTCTGAGTGTCAGGAAGCACATGTACCACCACCAATCAGCCTACACCACTGCGCACACACCCGTCGTTACTATGACAACTATTGTAGCCATGTCAGCAAATGACTTCTGTCCGAACACACACAAATTCGATTTGGTCAATGGTAACTTGCTGTTTGGACAGTCAGTATTCCAAAACAGATTTGAAAAATAAAACTGATTTGAGCATTAAGGCCTGCAGTGTGAACAAGGCTTAAGAGAGGTAAAAAGACATGGCAAAATATGTTACCAAATGAGCAAGATTATAAATGTTTTAGATAGAAACGTTTATTCAAAAATATTTGACAGGAGCATTACAGTGCACATTCTCTTCATGTACACAAACAAGATAATATTTTAGTGGTAGATTTCTAAACTCTCACAGTTTAATTCCACCGAATTCACCTTTTCATTACACCAAAATAATTATTTAAATAGTCAAATTTGATTGGGTCGCTTCAAGATTACTTATGACAATAAATTACAGTCATACCATACAGCCCCAAACATAATTAACTATCGACATCAACATTTAAGTTAACATTTTGGTTAAAAAAACAGCAGCACATCGGGCCCCATCCATTCAGGCTTCATTATGAACTAACAGAAACACAGCGCTGAAGGTTCATTATGAACTAACAGAAACACAGCGCTCACATACGACTTTTAACCTTCTAGAGACTGACATATCCTGGATCGTATTCATTAATGCACACCGTAGCAAAACTTTTTGCAATGTTAACAGTTTGCCCAAACACTCTAAACAGTTTCCGTTGCAAAATGTTTTACTCAGTGGCGTAGTGCAGTTCCGCAAGGTCCGAGCAATCAGTATTATAGCTAACATGGTATTTTACACATTTTGCCATGAGGCCGAGATAAAATGTTGCAGTTTTAGAGCTCAGGGACTCTTGAAAGACAGACAATCTCAACAAAATATAAACCCACCTGCCAGTTTATTAGGTACACCACCACATTCACAAAAAATGGATCGCTCCTACAGACAGTGAGTCAGGTGGCCGTAGCTTGCTATATAAAGCAGGCAGACAGACATCGAGGCATTCAGTTACTGTTCGATTGAACATTAGAATGGGTAAAACAAGTAACCTAAGTGCCTTTGAGCACGGTATGATCGTCGTGCCAGGAGCCCCGGATCCAGTATCTCAGACACAACCGCCCTTCTCGGAACGCACAACTCGTCGATCCTTGTCACGGATGGGCTATTGCAGCAGACGACTACACCGGGTTCCACTCCTATCAGCTAAAAACAAGAAGCTCCAGTGGGCACGCGATCACCAACACCGGACACTTGAGGAGTCGTAAAACATTGCCTAGAACATGACAGCGAGCTCAGTTTACTTGAGTGGCCTGCACAGTCCCCAGAACTCAACCCAATAGAGCATCTTTGGGATGATATGGAATGGGCTGTTCGCAGCATGAATGTAGCGTCGTCCAATCTGCAGCAACCGCGTGATGACATCGCTTCAGCATGGACCAACATCCCTGTGGAACGTTTCCGACACCTTGCAGAATGCGCCGAATAATTCTGGCTGTTCTGGAGGGAAAGGGGAGTCTGACCCGGTACTAGATGGATATACCTAATAAACTGGCCAGTGATTGTATATTTTGATACACCAAATTATCAGCTATCACACCATGTAAAGGAACAACCAAATGTTTTTGAAATTCATAAAATGCATCTAACTGGATTTCTGTCAACTCCGGCAGACACCATAAAATGCATTTCATTTTTTAAATTATTGTTCAACAAGTGTTTAAAGGCCTTGATTGTTTAATTGTAACAAATTAATTCTAAACATTTTCTTTCATGGCTTATGACGGGCGGGGCGGGGGGGGGGGGTTACACTAATGAATAGAATACAACCACAGTGGAGGCTGCTGAGGGGAGGACGGCTCATAATACTGGCTGGTGAGGAGCGAATGAAATGGTATCTGGAAACCATGTGTTTTGATACCATTCCACTCCAGCCATTACCACGAGCCCGTCCTCGCCAATGAAGGTGCCACCAACAGCCTGCGAACCCAGGTAAGGCACCAGGAAATAAGTGGCTGGAGAAGATTGGTAATGTAGCTTTGTAACTTTGATTACAAACTAAGGCTACTTATTTAGGGGTTACAGTTCAGCCAAACCCCACAGAACCACCATTCCTACACAACCACTTCAGGTAACTCAATTCACATTTGAGGCTCAATGTGGATGGTCAGTGTGCAGTTTTTCATTACAGCGTAAAAACATGATGTCAACATAGAAAACAACAAACAATCTGTCACAGGTCATCAACAGACATTTGATAAATCATAAAGGTCAAATAAAGGTTGACATTTGTTGGTGTAGACAAACAGTGACTTCAATCGGGTTAACACAAACACTTAATTCATTACAATAAATATATTCGCCACAGGTGAGATGATCTGTTTTGATTAAGTGCTTGAGATAGTTGTGTGCTTGACACGATGGCTGGTGGACAACGGTTTGTTAACTACTTAAAACCTACAAAGGAGGGTAGTCTCAGAGAAAACTGAGTGTGTAACAAAAGGGAGTAGCATGCAATGACCTGTACAGTACGATATATCGATGGTAGTTACAGCACAGCAATACAGAATTGTCAAGGTGAGTGTACATTGTGATACCTTGGCCTGTATTCAAAAAGCGACTGCATTGATCTAGGATCAGCCTCCCCTGTTCATATAAATCTTATTCATTACTACCTAGAAGTCCACTCCTACTCGGATGCTTTGTGGATATGGGCCCTGATCTTAAACTGGCCCTAGCTAGGCACTTGAATTCAGAACAATTATATCTCTCATTACTCAGTTTTTATGGCAGCTCAATATAAGCCTCCTCGTGGACGTTTCATGTCAGTGCAAACAATTCTGTAGTCTCAACGGCAGAACATGACAGCAAGGCTATAGTGCAATACCAACCACAGGGCACTATTCTCACAGCCATCATGCACATCACACATAGGTGAGTGCAGTGTGCTGATGACAGTGTCAGCGATTCACAGGTCATGGTCTCCTTCCCTATGTTAGCTAGCTTCAGGGTTTATGTTCAACATGGAGGTGAAACAAAGGTCAACAAAGATGAATCTCACAGTATTAAAAATGAAAAGAAGGGTCACATTTGATTTATTTTGGCTGAGATGGTCTGAGACTGGTTCATTTCTCTCAGTTGAGGTATTATTGAAGTAAGGGGATTGTTATGTAGTAAAGCTATGTTGGTTGTATGTTGTTTAAAAATCTATATGTGCTCCTTCACAGGCTCTTGTGCTCCTTCAGACTATCCCCCTCTCTCAGTCTGCATCCCAAATGCCACTCTATTGCTTATGGAGTGCATTACTTTTGACTAGAGCTCTATAGGCCCTAGTCAAAAGTAGTGCACTATATAGGGAATAGGGTGCCATTTGGGATGCAACCATAGACTATCCCTCTCTCCCTCTCCCGTCAGTAGAAACGTTTGCGGCTGTTCTCCTTCCAGCGCCCGTACATGACCACCGCCACCACCCCCAGTACAAAGATACCGATGATGGAGAAGACTATTGTGAAGAAGAGCTGGACTCCACTCATCCCCTCCTCCTGCACCTCCACTGTAATGAAAGAAACACAACCATGAAGCTCTATCTGCAGATTCAGAGAAAAATAACTCTCATGCTACAGTTCCATTGAAACTGGAAATTAAGACATTCAAATCAAATACATAAATTGAAATAGACGGCCAAAAACAATTATCACACCTTTTCTGAAAAACTATTTCTGCAAAAACTATCAAATGATGCATGCAAGACGTGAAAACCTTGCCATTGTTTAATCTTACCTTTGTTCAATTGCTCAAAGTTATCAACACTGGGGACAGTGAGCTCTTCCTCCTCCTCTTCCTCCTGAGGACGCTCCACGGTCAGCTGGTAAAGCTTCATAGAGATGAGATCATGGTTGTCTTGGAAATCGACAGGAAGGGAGAAATGAATACAACTCAACATTCAGAATTGTTTCTAATATTTTTTTTTACATTTCACACTTTATTCAGACAACTTGAAAAAGAGAGGGAGCACAGTAGGAAGGGTGGAGGCGGGGATCGAACCCAGGTCTTTAGCATTACCGCTACACCACGGGCTCTCCACCATTCTCCATTCAGAATTGACATAGATCTGACTATGAACTTATCGTATTCCAAAAATGGTTGAGAATAATGCAGATAGTGAACCACAAAGTAAGTATTGTTCTGAGATGTTCAGACAGAGGACCAGACCAGTACCTGACAGGTCTCCAGTAACAGAGACAGTGATGTTCTGAGATGTTCAGACAGAGGACCAGACCAGTACCTGACAGGTCTCCAGTAACAGAGACAGTGATGTTCTGAGATGTTCAGACAGAGGACCAGACCAGTACCTGACAGGTCTCCAGTAACAGAGGAGGCTCCAAAGAAGTAGCCCTGAGGCAGCCGCACCCCTGGTAGGTCCAGACAGTCCCGCCACTGCTGTTTACCATCAACATCAATCTGTATCTGTAGGACATGAGGTCAAACATAGGTCAATATGTTAGTGAATGCTAACAGCCACCTTTTACTTTATTAAATGTGGTGCTGTGTGTTTCTCTCACCGTCAGTCTGTTTTTGGTGTATCTGATGAGGAGGAAGGTGTCATGGGGGATGTTGCGCACTAGGGCCGTGCACCCGCCAAGCTCTGTAGACTGGCCATCACGATCATGCTCATAAGCCAGAGTCCCGTTCCCCACCATACCTGACACATATGGAAACACCCTCTGCAGAGACAAACAGAAGTAGTTGTGATATGCCAGACGTTTGTCATTCAGTGACACTTGTTGCATCTAAAAAGGCACCCTATTCCCTATGTAGTTCACTACTTTTGACCAGGGCCCAAATAGGGCTCTGGTCAAAAGTAGTGCACTATATAGGGAATAGGGTGCCATTTCGGACACAACCACTGACTAAATGCATGAAGCACTGCCAGAGTTATATTCTCAGGCAAACAGGAACAACTTCTGACACTAGTCTGTATTTTGACATACCACATATTGCACAAAATGGATGAGAGATGAGACATGTCACCCATCAAACAAGTCAGAAACACGTGACTGATGTGGGTTGGCCGACATGGATGGGACAGATGGTGGTGTGATGATGTTAGAAATAAACAAAACATGCAACTTTCAATTCAGGGGAAAATGACTGGGCTTGGCTGATAGGTTACTGTAGCTACCTGAGTTGAAGGGTTGTACTTCTTCTGTGTGTCCAAGAGGGAAGCAAGGAAACACAGGATGCAGCATAAACACACAAGACTGTACACCCAAACCAATTACACACAATCACTGTTTGGGAATAGACAGACTCCCATGTGAAATAAGTGTTGGGGGCTGTCTACCTGAGTGAGTGAGTGAGTGAGTGAGTGAGGAGTGAGCGAGTTAGTGTAGGCTATTTGATCTGAGTAGGGGGATTGGGCAGAGGGGGAGGGGAGTGGAGTACCTCATGGTTATTATTTTCATTGGGGTAGGTGTCCACAAACACTCCAAGGCCGGTGAAGAGGTTCATGTTTCCAAACACAGGACCTGCAGGTGTTAAACCCCAGCAGTCAACACTTTAGGGAGGCCATGCTGACTTTCTTCAATCTTTGTACCTTGATGTGCATCCCAAATGGCACCCTATATTACCAATATAGGGCACTACTTTTGACCAGAGCCCTAAGTAGTGTCTATATAGGGGACAGGGTACCTTTTGGGAAACCCTGGTTTGTGTGATAGACAGTGCAAGCTCAGTACCCGTCTGCATGCGTTCTTTGGTGTACCACAGAGCCATTCCATCTCCATTTAGGTTCTTCTTCCCCTGGCCATGGATCTTAAAGTGCACCTGCAGCTCCCAGTCCCTCAGGTAACAGGGCTGCAGTAGGAGACCATACAGGCAGACAGACAGTACAGTGAATGAGGAAAAGCAGGTTGTGGCACAGCATGTTACCTGAGGGCTCTCTGTCATAATGCTATGTCCTATATAGAGTAGTACATGTAGTCAGAAAGTATAGGCCTAATTTATGCTAGTGTTACTACAAATGAGGTGAAGTGATTGCCATATTTTGTGACAGACTACAAACTATGATGTCAGTGTTCTTAACAATGCAGAGATGTAGTTGTCTCGGGTTGTTCAAGGATAAGCAGTAGTGTGCTGGTGGGTGCTGGTATCTACTTGGGGATGGAGAGAGCTTAACTCACAACGCGGCTCCACACTGCTCCTTGTCTGCTCTGCAAGTCAGGGGTCAGTCGCACATGCTCAGTGGTGATTATGGCGTTGCCCATCAGGTCCCAATGGGAGGAACTGGAGGAGCCCAACCCTACACAAACACAATTAATCACTATGCATAACTTGATATAGGCGTCTTTGTCCAGTGGTCTCACCATTGTATCACAGCAATGTGAGAATAATTTAGCTCACCTTTGAGAACAAATCACTATATATTTTTTAGGGGGTAGATCAGCTTTAATAGTGCAGATAGATTGTAGATTCCATTAATGTAATTGTCTGCATGATTTCCAATCACCCATGTATGTATATTTTTAAAATATATTTTCCTTTATTATTTTCCCCTAACCCTACCATCCCTCCCATAATTGGATTAAACTAATGGATAACAACACTTAGCCTTCTAAATACTATATACATTTTACTGACACAATACACTTTACAACAGTTATCTTTTGTTTGTTTTAATCCCATCCTTCAGCTACCATCAACCCCTCCCATCCATCTCCGAAGCCCATCCAGCTTGATTTCTACATTGCCATATATTTTTTACTGTGTTTCCACAAAAGTTTCGAACCCATATACATTTTACTGATACAGCATATTTTACATTAGTTATTTTGTTTTTTAATCCCACCCTTCAGCTCCACTCAACCCCGCCCATCGATCCCCCAACACCATCCATTTTTGATTTATATTTGCCATGATGTTTTCACAAAGGTTCTGAACCTTTCTATTCTCATAGTTTCTACAGATTGTAAATTAATGATAAACATTTTGCTAAAAGTATTATTATATTATTGATCGACTGACTATGACTTTTCAAATCACCCAGTAGTGCCATCTGCAGAGTTAGTTCCAGGTAAATGTTGCACTTCTTCAACCGATCTTTGTCCATTTTAGAGAGACCAATGCAAAAGCTACATTTGTAAAGTACCTAGTTTGCTACGCATAATGTCAGTAGTAAATGGTTGTTTATTGTGGTGATCCACCTTGGATAACACAATTCTCCATACATTTCAACAACATTTACATAACTACACCGTATTATTTTACTGTCACTAATCTACCACCTTCCCGCATTGGGAATCATTGCGCAATACTAAAATGCAATCCTATTAAGCGGGTGACACTTGTTAGCGAGGTGAGTTAACACTATGCTGCCAATCCCCATCTCGTAACGTTAAAGACAATTGCTAATGCTAACTATACAGTAAGTACTTGCTGAATAACTCAATACTGTTTTTGTAGAAGACAAATGTCAATATTTGTGAACATTGTCTGGAAATCAAAAGATAAAATCATTCTGCCGGATAGCCCAACGCTACCTTGGTATGGTTTGGTAAGCGAGTACTCCCTTTTTAAAAAGTCATCCATCTCGTAGCCATCGTCTGCCAGACACGTACACGTTAAAAGAAGGACAACGGTAAATAGACATATTAATTCATTAATGTTTCGCTGATTAAACAGTAAATCAAATATCTGAAAACTGCTCAACCGAAACCGATTAGATTTGCTCATGTTGGCGGCCATTCTTCTTCTTCGGTGGTGTATATCGGTGGTTGGCATCCAACGTTATGGTGCATTACCGCCACCTACTGGAGTGTGGGCCAGAGACATGGAGAAGCTAAATCCTACCTGCCAGCCCAGTTTCTCTTAAAAAAGATAACAAAAAATATTTTAGACTGTATCTAATCACGTTTTACTCAGTATGCTCTTTAAACTAATTTCCTGTATCCCCTTCTCCCTCATACGGGATCTCAGCCTCTCTCTTTCCCTCTCATACTGCCCACACTGTATCAGTACATGCTCCACTGTCTCTGTTTCCTGGCAATAATCACACTTACCTGTTGGATGCTTTCCTATCACATTTAAAGTCTTATTCAACCGGCTGTGTCCCACTCTTAGTCTTGTAAAAATAGCCTCCTCTCTTCTGTCCCTTCCTGCCGTCCTCCCCGACTTTCCTCTGTACTTGGAATAAATGCCTTCCCTTATTATCTCTATTCCACTGCTCCTGCCATCTCGGCACCACCACTGTATATATCAAATCAAATCAAATCAAATTGTATTGGCCACATGCACCGAATACAACAGGTGCAGACATGACAGTGAAATGCTAATTACTTACAGCCCTTAACCAACAGTGCATTTCTTTTTTAAATAAAAAAGTAAAATAAAACAAAAAAAAGTGTTGAGAAAAAAAGAGCAGAAGTAAAATAAAATAACAGTAGGGAGGCTATATATACAGGGGGGGTACCGGTGCAGAGTCAATGTGCGGGGGCACCGGCTAGTTGAAGTAGTGTACATGTGGGTAGAGTTAAAGTGACTATGCATAAATAATTAACAGAGTAGCAGCAGCGTAAAAAAATGGGGTGGGGGGGCAATGCAAATAGTCCGGGTAGCCATGCCTTAGACCACTGCGCCACTCGGGAGGACCATATGAATGTGTAGTGTACACATTAATAAAAGGCAATTTTCTTTGCGTTATGGATACATTTAAGGAAAGTGATTCTGCCTTCTTGGTCTTCGCCTTTACCCAAAATGGTACTTTTGAGTTTCCTTTATGATTACACCTTTAGTTTTGTTTGGGGCTGATGAAAAAGCAGTCAGTTTGTACAAATGGTTCTTTATTCTATGTGTGACTTTTTGGAGTAGGTGTGTTTCTTGGAGCGTTGCTATATCAACATGGTTTCTTGCTAGGATATCAAGAAAGCTGGAACATTTAATAGGACAGTTTAGGCCTTTCAAATACCAAGAGAGAGTAGCTAGCGTTGCCATTGCTTATCAGTAGTGTTAGTCAGCCCATGGATGTGAAACAAAAAGCAGGACCCACAGGGAAACCCACCCATTGGTCGTTCCCCACCCAGAACACCCCCTCCCCCCATTCCCTCCTTCCCTAGCCACCAACCCCTATCATTACAGGGTTGCAGCATAATGGCGAGTGGCAGCCTTACTTGTGAAATCTCTTAGGCAGCATATTTTGGGGGGTTTTAAGGTATTGAGAAATAAATAAAGTAAAACAAAATAAGCAACCATTTAGCCCTTCAGATTTAAGTTTGCAAACTTCATGAAGGGTAGGGTAATGAAGAAAAAAAGTAGGCTAAATATAACAGAAATGCAAGCCTAAACAGTCAAACAGGAGCTCCTGATCCATTATCATTAGCAATATGGTTCAGCCACGACTCTGTGAAACATAAGATATTACAGTTTTTAATGTCCTGTTGGTAGGATAACCGTAATCTTAGGTCATCCAATTTATTCTCAAATGATTGAACATTGGCTAATAGGATTGATGGAAGAGGCAGTTTACTCGCTCGCCGTCGGATCCTTACAAGGCACCCCGACCTACGTCCACGATATCTCCGTCTCTTTCTCATGCGAATGACGGGGATTTGGGCCTTGTCGGGTGTCTGTAGGATATCCTTCGCGTCCGACTTGTTGAAGAAAAAATATTTGTCCGATACGAGGTGAGTAATCGCTGTCCTGATATCCAGGAGCTCTTTTTGGTTATAAGAGACGATGGCAGAAAAATTATGTACAGAATAAATTACAAATAACGCGGAAAAACACACATAATAGTACAATTGGTTAGAGGGCTGTAAAACGGCAGCCATCTTCTCCGGCGCCATTATCAGGCTTTTTGCCTCTGCCTTGCTAATTGAAACATCTCCACTACTAAGTGCTTGTTTAGCCAGTACATCAGCTGCCTCGTTCCCCTCCACCCCCACATGGGCTGGGACCCAAATAAATCTTGTCTGTTTACCCATCTGTCTAACCCTGCCATGGGTTTGTAGTACCTCATACAGCAGGCCTTGTCTGCTGCATGAGCTAAAGGACTGCAGACTCATCAACACTGCACATGAGTCAGAGCAAATAACTACTCTGTCTGGCTTGACTTCCTCCGCCCACTGCAAGGCCAACAGTACGGCCATCAGTCAATATATTGAGGACTATAGCTCAGTTGGCAATACTTTATATTAATTGTTTACATGTAAGTAGCCTACGATTCTCTATAAACTATGCCAATCTCTGGGAATTTCATAGAACTATTGTATGAATGCATCATTGCTTATCTGTTTCAGGGATGGCAGTCAGGGCATTAGGTTCGAACATTGTAACTTGCAGACAGCAGCTCATGTCCATGGCCTAGCACAGCAGGGAGTTTGAACTGGTGAGTGTGGCATTGAAGTTTATCACAGGCTCCTCAGAGCTCTGATGTCTGACCTCCTTGCTGTCACCCTCTCACATGCAGTATCAGTGCATTTGATTCACGAAAAGCAACAGTTACTATACCAAAGTAAAGTTATAGAGATGCATTTTATCACAAAATGACTTACATTTGACCATTATTGTTGAAAAGACGTGCTGGATTCATTTGGAATGATGAAAGGAGTAAAGACTGTATAGGTAAAGTACCCCAAATGCAGGTCAACCCCTATGAGTCAGCACTTTCTGATCCATGTGTACAGTACATCTACTCATCTGCGTCTCATCTCACAAAGGGTGATAGTGGCTGCGATTAATGATGTCGACTATTGACAGATAATTGCGCCAACCGTCTTTTTTGGCAACATCCTAGGAGGAATTAAACTAATGCAGTTTACTGTGGGAGACGTTATTGCTCCCCAGAGAGAGGCTGGTAGTTGAGAAACAAATCGAGACTGGGAGTCGGGAGAGACGGAAATGAGAGCGCTGATATGGAAGTGTTAAGACTTCCACAGATCATAAGGATCCAGCAAGTGACTTTAAATGATCACTATTTCCCCTATACAGTGAGTGAAAAAAGTATCTGATCCCCTGCTGATCAGTCTATAATTTTAATGGTAGGTTTATTTGAACAGTGAGAGACAGAATAACAACAACAAAATCCTGAAAAACGCATGTCAAAAATGTTATAAATTGATTTGCATTTTAATGAGGGAAATAAGTATTTGACCCCTCTGCAAAACATGACTTAGTACTTGGTGGCAAAACCCTTGTTGGCAATCACAGAGGTCAGATGTTTCTTGTAGTTGGCCACCAGCTGTGCACACTTCTCAGGAGGGATTTTGTCCCACTCCTCTTTGCAGATCTTCTCCAAGTCATTAAGGTTTCGAGGCTGACATTTGGCAACTCGAACCTTCAGCTCCCTCCTCAGATTTTCTATGGGATTAAGGTCTGGAGACTGGCTAGGCCACTCCAGGACCTTAATGTGCCTCTTCTTGAGCCACTCCTTTGTTGCCTTGGCCGTGTGTTTTGGGTCATTGTCATGCTGGAATACCCATCCACGACCCATTTTCAATGCCCTGGCTGAGGGAAGGAGGTTCTCACCCAAGATTTGACGGTACATGGCCCCGTCCATCGTCCTTTTGATGCGGTGAAGTTGTCCTGTCCCCTTAGCAGAAAAACACTCCCAAAGCATAATGTTTCCACCTCCATGTTTGACTGTGGGGATGGTGTTCTTGGGGTCATAGGCAGCATTCCCCCTCCTCCAAACACGGCGAGTTGAGTTGATGCCAAAGAGCTCGATTTTGGTCTCATCTGACCACAACACTTTCACCCAGTTCTCCTCTGAATCATTCAGATGTTCATTGGCAAACTTCAGACGGGCCTGTATATGTGCTTTCTTGAGCAGGTGGACCTTGCGGGCGCTGCAGGATTTCAGTCCTTCACGGCGTAGTGTGTTACCAATTGTTTTCTTGGTGACTATGGTCCCAGCTGCCTTGAGATCATTGACAAGATCCTCCTGTGTAGTTCTGGGCTGATTCCTCACCGTTCTCATGATCATTGCAACTCCATGAGATGAGATCTTGCATGGAGCCCCAGGCCGAGGGAGATTGACAGTTCTTTTGTGTTTCTTCCATTTGCGAAAAATCGCACCAACTGTTGTCACCTTCTCACTAAGCTGCTTGGCGATGGTCTTGTAGCCCATTCCAGCCTTGTGTAGGTCTACAATCTTGTCCCTGACATCCTTGGAGAGCTCTTTGGTCTTGGCCATGGTGGAGAGTTTGGAATCTGATTGATTGATTGCTTCTGGGGACAGGTGTCTTTTATACAGGTAAAAAAACTGAGATTAGGAGCACCCCCTTTAAGAGTGTGCTCCTAATCTCAGCTCGTTACCTGTATAAAAGACACCTGGGAGCCAGAAATCTTTCTGATTGAGAGGGGGTCAAATACTTATTTCCCTCACTTATTTCCCTCATGTCTTTTTCTGGATTTTTTGTTTGTTATTCTGTCTCTCACTGTTGAAATAAACCTACCATTAAAATTATAGACTGATCATTTCTTTGTCAGTGGGCAAATGTACAAAATCAGCAGGGGATCAAATACTTTTTTCCCTCACTGTATGTCCCTAGGGAAGATATTGCTTACATTGGAAAAGCTGCTGCTGAATGCCAGCTTACAGCTGAAACCTGAAACACCCCAGTCAGCCAGTCAGTCTGCCACATTCCCTGTCCGACACCCACACAACACCATTTGTGCTTTCCATTATCCTAATTCCAGAGAAATACATTCTGTATGGGTCTGAGTGTCATAAACCACTGATATACTG